GGCTAGCATTAATCCAAAAAACACAAAATAATAAATGTTGGAGAGGTTGTGGAGAGACTGGAACACTTATACACTGTTGGTGGGAATGTAAAATGGTAAAAACACTTTGGAAACTGATTTGGCGCTTCCTTAAAAAGTGAAAAATAAAAAGTACCATACGATCCAACAATCCTGCCCCTTGGACTATATTCTAAAGAAATAAGAGCCATCACACAAATAGATATATGCACACCCATGTTCATTGAAGCACTGTTCATAATAGCAAAGAGATGGAAGCAACCTAGGTGCCAATCAGTGGACGAATGGATGAACAAATTGTGGTATATTCACATGATGGAATACTAGGTGACAATAGAGAACAACAATGAATCCTTGAAATGTCTCATAACATGGATGAATCTGGAAGGCATTATGCTGAGTGAATTTAGTCAGTCGTAAAAGGACAAATATTGTATAAGACCACTATTAGAAGAACTCAAGAAAAGGTTTAAACACAGAAGAAAACATTCTTTGATGGTTATGAGGGTGGGAAGAAAGGGAGAGGAGTATTCTCTAACTAGATAGTAGACAAGAATTTTCTTAGGTGAAGTTAAGAACAACTCACACTACAGGGGAAGTCAGCACAACTGGACTAAACAAAAAGCTAAGAAGTTTCCTGAATACAACCAAACACTTCGAGGGACAGAGTAGCTGGGCCGGGGGTCTGGGGACCATGCTTTCAGGGGACATCTAGGTCAATTGGCATAACAAAGTTTATCAAGAAAATGTTCTGCATCCCACTTTGGTGAGTGGTGTCTGCAGTCTTAAAAGCTAGCGAGTGGCCATCTAAGATGCATCAATTGGTCCCAACCCACCTGGAGCAAAGAAGAATGAAGAACACCAAAGACACAAGGAAAGTAGTAGCCTAAGAGACAGAAAGGGCCACATAAACCAGAGACTCTATCAGCCTGAGACCAGAAGAACTAGATGGTGCCCAACTACCACCAATGACTGTCCTGACAGGGAACACAACAGAGAGTCCCTGATGGAGCAGGAGAAAAGTGGGGTGCAGAATTCAAATTCTAGTAGAAACACCAGACTTACTGGTCTGACTGAGACTGGAGGGACCCTGAAAAATGTGGCCCCTGGACTATCTGTTAGGCCAAAACTAAAACCATTCCTGAGGCCAACTCTTCAGACAAAGATTAGACTGGACTATAAGACATAAAGTGATACTCATGAAGAGTGTGCTTTTTAACTCAAGTAGATACATGAGACTAAGTGGGCAGCTCCTGTCAGGAGGTGAGATGAGAAAGCAGAAAGGGATAGGAGCAGGTTAAATGGACATGGGAAATCCAGGGCGGAAAGGAGGAGTGTGCTGTCATAGTATAGGAAGAGCAACTAAGGTCACATAACAATGTGTGTATAAATTTTTGTATGAGAAACTAACTTGAATTGTAAACATTTCTAAAGTACAATAATTTAAAAAAAAGTATATAAGGATCTGCCCAGAAGGACAGCAAAGCCCTAGAAATGGTAGTAATAAGAGGCTACTGAGCTTGTCAGCAGCGTCCTTGGGTGGTACAAACAGTTGACACAGTCAGCTGCTAACGGAAAGGTTGGAGGGGCAAGTCCACCCAAAGCACCTCAGAAGGAAAACCAGACAATCTACTTCTGAAAAATCAGCCACTGAAAACCCTCTGGCGCACCATTCTACTCTGACACACATGGGGTCACCATGAGTTGGAATCAATTTGATGGCAACTGGACTGGTGGAGCTTGTAAGCATCAGAAATTTTTAGTGAACAACAGGTCAAAACTTTCCAAGAAACATTAGCATGCTCAGCCAATGGGATCAACACCAAGGGGAAATAGAGGATATCCAAAATTCAGGGAAGTCATAAAACTCCCAGAAATCATAATGTTCTTATAGCAGTTGTCCCTCTTGAAACTAAAGCTATCATGGAGACACATTAAAAAAAAAAAAAAAAAAGTTAACACTAAAAGGAAAGGACAAAACAGATGAGATTTGAGCTTTATCTACCAGCTTCTTGAATTATTATTAGTTTCCTAAAGAGGGAGGATAGAGAGTCAAAATTCGACTTACAGTTATATTGCTTACTTGTTGCAGGGTAATCTGACATTGGGTGTATATGTTTATTTGAATTGTTTAACAAATTTGATGATGGTTTTATCTTTGGTAATGGGTTTATTAGAGGTCAAAATAAGATAATTTTTGGAAAAACCTTGCCAATTAAATATCCCTGTGTATGTATACAGGATACCAGTGTACGTGGTTATTGTGCTAATGGTAGTATTAAGAGCAGGAGTAGTAATATTGGTAACAGTAATAGTCTTGGTACTAATAGTGGTAGTAGTGATGGTGGTAATTAAAAGCTCCAATTTAAGAACACTATCCAGATATTCCAAGTCCCTGGGGGGCACAATAACCGAAAGATAGGTGGTTCAAACCCACCCAGAGGCACCTCAGAAGAAAGGCCTGGCAATCTGCTTCCAAAAGCTCACAGTCATTAAAACCCTATGGAGCACAGTTCTACTCGGCAACACATGGGGTCACCATGAGTCAGAATCAGCTTGAAGACAACTGGACCCAGATATTGTTCGAACTGAAATACTGTACCTGTGTGACTCCCAAGATGCATTCAATCTCTAGACAGGGACAATTGATCCCTGATTAGGTCCACCTGCCCACCTTTTACCAGACAGAGAGGAAAAAGGGATTACAGATTTCACATAGAGAGGATAGTTAGCACAGCATTTAAACAGCTCTCATTTCTTACCTATTATTTCATTTTCCTGGACCTCAAATACGGTCTTTGCAGATGGACATGTAGGTGGATTATCATTAATGTCTGTAACTTTCACATTAATTTTCAGTGGCCTTGCAAGTAGTTTTCCTTTCTCATCCTTTGCAACTGCATAAAAAACATACTACAACAGGAAGGTCAGAATTAAGCCGTGACTCTCTCACCGTCCCCTTTAAAAGGCAGAGAAAATACTGTTTCATTTCTATTTCATTTACTCCCTTATTTTCCATTTACTTAGAACTGAGAAATTATCAAGTCTTTTAAGAGCCAATAATGTGCTGGAGTTCAGAACACAATTATCATTATTATTTTTAGTAAAATCAATTTTGCTCTCGGCTGTAGATGGGCACAGGAATTTTTCTTGTCGTCCGTGACACTCTTCCCATTTTACTCACTGAATCGTTTTTTTCTCGGTCCAAGGGCTCAGTCACATAAATATCTCCTTCCTGGTCAATTGAAAATGGGAATCTTGGCAGCTTCGCCACTTCAGCTAAGGAATATTGTACATCTGGTTCGTTCCACTGCACCTACGGGGTCCAAAGTTAACTGTAAGGAAAGATACACCTGGACCAAGAGAACTGAAAAGGAAATAAACAATTTTCTAGTTCTTGGTAGGAAATTCCTGCCAACCTTGTCTGTACGTCTGAGGTTTCTTATAACAAGTTACATTTTTCATTTTCAACCCAAAACAAGCTCTTTCTTACCAAATTATATTGCTCAAAAAAGCTCACTGGCGTTATTTTTCTTCACTAAAGCAATGCTATGTGAAACCCTCCAAAGAGTTTGTGGGTGGTTTTCTTTTAGAATTCTGATTGTGAAGGCTTCGTATTCATGAAACATCAATATAAGAAACTAAATGTACTTTGTAGTTTGCATTATCTGAGGAACTAAGTCATGAGCTACGGCAAGCTTTTAAAACTCACCAATGAAGGTGAATGACAAGAATAAGAGACACTTTAAACTAATCTCCATTCTATTATTTAAGACAAATGATACGTAAGTAAGGCACATTCTGCCCCTAAATATTTAGTCTTAAGGACTTCAGGGATAAGAATAACTGCCAACTCCTGGAGTTGTTTTGCAAATAATCTGGCAAAAATAAACTCAATAGCAAGAATAGTCTACTTGCTATAAACAGAGTCTGGCCCATCTGATATACTAATACTAATAATAATGTTGACTGAGGATTTACACCGTGCCAGACACGATTCTAAATGCTTTTATGCATTATCTTATATAACACTCAAACAATCTTATGAAGGTTGTCTATTGCCTGTAACTTTAACATAAATTCAGGGGCAAATAGGCCTGGTAGAGCCCAGAGTGGATTTCCAGGAGCTAAGGTAGGAGGGGAAACTCTGGTGTCGTAGTGGTTAAGAGTTCTGCTGCTAACCAAAAAGGTCAGCAGTTCAAATCCACCAAGGACCCCTTGGGACAGTTCTACTCTGTCCTACAGGGTCACTGAGTCGGAATCGACAGCAACGGGTTTAGTTTTTTGGTTTAAGGCGGGAGAAGGCTCAGGAATGGGAAAAGGAGTGTGGAGTGACGCTTGAATGGAGACAACAGGCACACATAGGAGATGGGGTCGGTGTAGGGGAGCTCCAAGAGGAAAGGTTGCCTATTTGACCCTTTTACCCTTGGCCAGTCCTGTCTCTGCCCTCGGCATCTGATGGGATGACTTTACTGGAGCAAGATTTTTGCCCGCAAGAATAAATAGTAGTCTTTCAAAAACATTTACAAGCCCAAATATAAACCATGTACTTGATAGATACACCATATACAACCCACTCTAGGGAAGCCATGTCCTGTACTGCCAACAAGGAGCAACAAACAGTGGTATTGACTTTGAAGGTGAAAGCCAGAGAAGTTCTCTTTTGAAGTTCAAGTATAAATCTGAATCCAAGTTTTCTGACCACAATGGTAAACTCCAGAGACTTTGTGGCAGAGACTTTGTCTACTTAATTTACCTTGTAATTATGTTATGCAAAAATGTACCTAATAAATGTGTTAGTAAAGGCCGTGAGCATGGGTCTCTACAAAGTGAGGGCATGTATCTAGTGGGCTGTAGGTACTTCTTGGTAACAACCTGAGTGATTTTGATGGGGTAAGGCCCAATTGAGTTTTCTTCAATTTCCACAGGTTCTGGAGCTTTCCAAATATTCTCCTTCACCAAAATATCCACAGATGTGGTGTCACTGAAGGAATTCTCATTCTGGCCATCCAGGTCCTTCACTAAGACCATCAGATTGTAGGAAGGATTCTTAACAGGATCCAATTCTTGAGAGCCTATGAGAAGTAGGGGAGAAGAAAAAAGATGTCTCTGGAGGAAATATAGACCAAGATCCCTTTTTCTGACCTAGATGGTCCTATAAGGATAGCCCTTGACTTACCTTCTTGGGTAAGTGAGATTGCCCCCGTTTTGTTGTTGATCTGAAAGTACATAACATTGTTGATATTAGGAAGCTGGATGATAATTTGATAAACAAGCTGGCCATTGGGAGTGGCTGGATCGTCCAGGTCAGTAGCATTGACATACATGAAGGGCTTCCCTGTTTAACAAAATGTACCCAGAAAAAAAATGTTAATTAAAACCCAAACCAACTGTTGCCTTCCAAGGGGTAGAGATAGAATGGGGGAAATCAAACCAAAAACCAAACCCGCTGCGTCGAGTTGATTCCAACTCATAGCAATCCCCTAGGGTTTCCAAGGCTGTAAATCTCTACAGAAGCAGACTACCACTGACCTTTCAGTTAGTAGTAGATTGCTTTAACCACTGCACCACCACGGCTCCCTAGAGTGGGGGAAGTTGCCATAATTCATATCAGTGGGGAAATAAATCTTTGTCCTACTCTCCCTAAAACAGGGTTCTCAAAATGTGGTTCAGGAATCTCTAGGGGTCCCTGAGACTGTTTCAAGGGGTCTACGGAGTCAAAAAGCATCCATGCATAAAAGACTCACTCAAAGTACAAGGTAAGCCAATGGATTTTGGTGTAAAGGAATGGAAAACATGTTGTTGATATGGTTTCAGATTCCACATTACAACTAACCTTTAAGAAACCACTGCTTGTCAAGTTTTGGTACAGTATCAAAGAATATCCAAATTAATCTAATACTACTATTAAAACACTCCTCCCTTTTCCAACTTTACATCTATGTAAGACTAACTTTTCTTCATATACTTCAACTAAAACAGCATATGACAACAGAATGAATATAGAAATAGACATGAGAATCCAATTGCTTTCTATTAATCCAGACATTAAAGATATTTTTAAGAATTAAAACAATGTCATTCTTCTCACTAGATTTTTTGTTTGGGAAAATATAGTTATTTTTTCATAAAAATATGTTTATTATTGTTATTTTAAATGAATAAATATTTTACTTTTTTTTTTATTTTAATTTCTAGTAAGGTAAATATTGAGAGATACAACCAATGATGTTCTGGAGTCAGCTCGTGAGAGTCAATTGTTAAACATTCAGAAATTTTGCAAGCCAATTGATAAACCGTTGGTAGCTTGGAATAGGCTATGATGGGAGTATTTATACCATGGAAACTGACAAATGCTACAAATCAAGGCTTTTCCCCTCAGAGGCAGTTATCAGACATTCATCAACACACCACTGAATGTAACCCATACATCCAAAAGTTCTTTGGAGTCCTCAATAGTTTTTAAGAGACTAAAGGAGTCCTGAGACCAAAAAGTTGGAAAGGCACTGCTCTAGAAGATCCTACTGGTAAAGAGAGAAAGGATAAGACCTTGATAAGAATTCTTATTTAGCAGAGTTCGTTAGTGAATCTTTGATATGCAGCCTCAGGGACAGGAACAGTGAAATTACTTTGCATAGTAAAGTGGAAGCAAGTTTTTGTCTAAGTTCTTGGAAGTGGGTATTGAAGAATGAGAGAAAGAGAAGATTAAGTAACATAGAGGAAAGCTGGACAGTGAGTTGATGGAAATGGTCAAGAGTCTTCCTGAGGACTCAGAAATCTAATATTCATTTTTATTTTGTGCACTGCTATGATGTGACATTTCTTCATCTACCCAAATCTTCAGTCAAGCCTGCTGTACACACATATGCCTTGGTAAGGGACTTTCGTGGAAATGAAGGAAGGTCAATGCAGCATAGAGAAGGGATGAGCCATAGGTGGGAGCTGGACTTGAGATGAGAGATAGAACTGGGAACCAGCGGTGGTCATGAAAATGTAGATTCCTGGGAGGATATGGATAGTGAGCTTAGTCTTCCTTTTCCCATCAATCCTCGTTCTATCCTAAGCAGTGGTTCTCAACTAGGTGTGATTTTGCTCCCTGCCCCACCCAAGGAATATTTGGCCATGTCTGGAGACATTTTTGTTATCATGATTTGGGGTAGGGGGGCAGATACTGGCATCTGGTGGTTAGAGGTCAGGGATACTGCTTAACATCCTACAAGGCACAGCAGAGCCCCTAACCAAAAAAAAAAAAAAAAAAAAAACAAGAAGAATTGTCAGGATCAAGAAGTCAATAGTACTCAGCTTGAGAAACTCTGCCCTAGGGCACTGGGGGTAGTAAAACAACTCCCAGACGATCACTGAGAAGTTTAAATAAGATAAACCAAACCAGTTGCTGTGGAGTGGATTCCAACTCACTGCAACCCCATGTGTGTCAAAGTAGGACTATGCTCCATAGGGTTTTCAGTGGTTGATTTTTTTCAGAAGTAGATCACCAGGACTCTTCTTCCATGGTGCCTCTGGGTGGACTTGAACCTCCAATATTTCAGTTAAGAGCCAAATGCATTAACTGTTTGCACCACCCAGGGACTCCTTAAATAAGATAGTAAGTGCTTCATAAGCGGTAAGTGCAGCTGTTATCCACACAAATCTGCCCCTTCTATCTGATACCCTTCCACCTCTCCATATATATCTCCAGGCTCCTGCATATTACCTGCACGAGAATTCTGCCTCACTGAGCCTTCATAGTTTGACTGTAGAAACATGGGTCGGTTGTCATTGATGTCCTTCACTTCTATGGTGATGGGGACTGGGCCCTCCACTGTAGCTCCATGAGCATCCAGGGCTGCAACCTGATGTTGAAGGAAAAGGAAACCATGCTGGTGAGAGTGGACTCCACAGCGTATTCTCAAAAGTCCCTTGAAGGAAATTAGCGCTCAAAGAACCAATGGTCTGGTGACTGTAGGGGAGAAAGACACTTCACAAAAGCCCAGAATGGGAACTCTAATCTCATACCCACTAGGATGACTATTATCAGAAAAATAGAAAATAAGTTTTGGCAAGGATGTAGAGAAATTGATACCTTGGTGCATTGCCGGTGGGAATATAAAATGGTACAGCCACCGTGCAAAATAGTTTGGTGTTTCCTCAAAAAGTTAAACATAGTATTACCGTATAATCCAGCAATTCCACTCACAGGTATATCCTCAAAAGATTGAAAGCAGGGAATCAAACAACTAAAAGATGGACCAACTCAAGTGTCCAATAGAAGAATGGAAAAACAAAAATGATATATACATACAATGGAATACTATTCAGTCATTAAGAGAAATGAAATTCTAATGCATGCTATGACATAGATGAAACTTGAAAACATTATGCTGAGTGAAATAAATCAGACACAAAAGGACAAATATTGTATGATCCCACTTACGTGAAATATTTAGAATAGGCAAATGCATAGAGACGAAAGTTTATTAGTGGTTACCAGGGGCTGGGGGTGGGAAGGAATAGAAGTTATTGCTGAAGGGGTACTGAGTTTCTGCTTGGGGTGATGTGAAACTTTTGGAAACGGATAGTGGTGATGGTAGCACAACATAGTGAAAGAAATTAATGTCACTGAATTGTACACTTAAAAATGGTTAAAAAAGCTAACTTTTTGTTATGTATATTGTTATAGATTGAATAAAGTCCCCCAAAAATATGTGCTGTAAATCCTAACCTCTGTGCTTGTGGTTATAGTCCCATTTAGGAATGGGTTGTCTTTATTATGTTAATGAGGCACGATTAGTGTAGAATGTATCTTGAGTCAATCTCTTTTGAGATATAAAAGAGATTAAACAAGTGAGCAAAGCAGAGAGGGGGAAAGAGAGATACCAAGACACATGGAAATCTCCAAGGAATGAGAAAGTAGAAGCTGAAGAGACAAGGACCTTCCTTCAGAGCCGATGGAAACAGAAAGCCTTCCCCTAAAGCCGGGGCTCTAAATTTGGACTTCTAGCCTCCTGAACTGTGAGAAAATAAATTTCTGTTTGTTAAAACTACCTGCTTGTGGTATTTCTGCTATAGCAGCACTAGATAACTAAGACACATATATTTTTTTTGTTTGTTTATTGTTGTAGTTTAAATGTTTACATTTCAAGTTAGTCTCCCATACAGAAATTTATACACACATTGTGATGTGACCCTAATTGCACTCCCCATGCTGTGACAGCACACTCCTCCTTTCCACCCCTGATTCCCCATGTCCATTCAGCCAGCTCCTAACCCTCTCTGCCTTCCCATCTCACCTCTGGACAGAAGCTGCCCATTTGGTCTCTTGTATCTACTTGAGCTAAGAGGCACACTCCTGGCAAGCATCACTTTATGTCCCACAGTCCAGTCCAATACCTGTCTGA